TATGTTTTCTACAGTCTCTCACCAGGTGGATATGTTTATGTGTTTGGGTTGGTAGTTTTTTATGTTTTCTATATGCCCTCACTAGATGGATATGTGTGTATTGGTAGGTTTGTATGTTTTCTACAGTCTCTCACCAGGTGGATATGTTTCTGTTGGTAGGTTTTATGTTTTCTACGTGCTCTCACCAGGTGGATATGTTTCTGTTGGTAGGTTTGTATGTTTTCCACGTACTCTTACCAGGTGGATATGTTTGAGTTGGTAGGTTTGTATGTTTTCTACAGTCTCTCACCAGGTGGATATGTTTATGTGTTTGGGTTGGTAGTTTTTTATGTTTTCTATATGCCCTCACCAGATGGATATGTGTGTATTGGTAGGTTTTGTTTTCTACAGTCTCTCACCAGGTGGATATGTTTGAGTTGATAGGTTTTTATGTTTTCTACATGCTCTCACCAGGTGGATATGTTTCTGTTGGTAGGGTTTTAAGTTTCCACATATTCTCACCAGGTGGATATGTTTGTATTGATAGGTTTATATATTTTCCATAAACTAATTTTTGATATGTAGAAATCAGAAAAGTTACATTAAGATTTATAATTATTACTTTTGTTGTCTATTTTAGTACAAATTATATGCCTCAATGCAGAGTAGTGCCATTATATGTTTAGTAAATTACTGAAGTATGTACAAATATGCCTTTTTGCATGCATTTATTGCTGTGGATGGTAGTGGGGGTCATGAAAAATTGCTTTTTATAAGTGAAAGTATTCTGCACTGACCATATGTACCCTATGCAGCTCACCATGAATATGTATGCCCTTTATCAAAGAGAATAGCTGGACATAGAGTTTGGTCATTCCAGGACTGTCTGCCAAAGGGTTAAGATACAAGATTGAAAAGTTTTAATGTTTTAAATGGTTCTCCTAAAAGACATTACTTACACAGCATTTGTTTGAGAGGAACACATCAATCCTCCCACATTTTGTTTGAGAGGAACACATCAATCCCCCACATTTTGCTTGAGAGGAGCACATCATTCCTCCCACATTTTGTTTAAAAGGAGCACATCAATCCCCCCCCCTATTTTTTTCCGCTTTCTTATTATTTTAGATACATTCTGAACACAAGCAGACTGGCATAAAACTTCACCTTTTAATTTTTATTACTTTTCTTGCAAGAGTTTTTAGAGAAATAAATATGACTGTGACTGAAATAGTCATATCAATTTTAATAAAAAAGAAACAAAAAAGAACAAAACTATTTTACCATATGAAATCAAGTTAATATGTGCATTAGTTTATCATTAATATGTCATTTTTTTTTTCATTTTACTTCATCACAGATATCAATGAATGTGTTGAAATTCCTAGCTCATGTATAAATGGACAATGTCTCAATACACCTGGGAGTTTTAAGTGTATTTGTCGTGATGGTACTGAATTAACCAATGGAGGAAGAACATGCATTGGTAAGTATACGCCGTGGTCTTGAGAGAAACAGTGTTAGTTTTAGTTTTTACGGAAATGATGACTCTAGTATGCATGTTTTCAAAGATTTATCTCTAATACTTAATTTACACTGATACTAGGACTCCAGCTCTGAACTTAGTTTTCTCTTACTAAGTTTAATCCCTCTTTTTCATGCTGCTACTGTTTTAATATTTAGTAATAAATCTTTGTAACTGTTGTACGTCATGATTAGGCAGAGAACAATATCTTTGTTTAGATTTATAAGAAATGTATCAAAGAATGTGTCTGTTTTTATTCTGTCTATTGTCACAGCTTGTTATTACAAATTGTTATGTATGCCGTAGTATTAGGTATTGATTTTTACTATAAGTTCTTTAGTATTATTTCCTGATTATGTAGATTTTATATTGTAAAGTGCTAAATCTTTCATTTCTTGTGGTTTAATGTTAATTCTTGATTTCTTATAATTTTATAACATGTTCTTTATTGTTGATTACATGTAGTTTGATGTTAACTGTTGGCTACATATGGTTGGGTGTTAGTTCTTGACAATACAGGACTTGATTACACGTAGTTTGATGTTAACTGTTGGCTACATATGGTTGGGTGTTAGTTCTTGAAAATACAGGACTTGATTACATGTAGTTTGATTTTAACTGTTGGCTACATATGGTTGGGTGTTAGTTCTTAACAATACAGGACTTGATTACGTGTAGTTTGATGTTAACTGTTGGCTACATATGGTTGGGTGTTAGTTTTTTTCTTACATATGATTTGGTATTATTGTTAGGAAGTATTTAGTTTAATATTAGTTGTTAATTACACATGGATTAACTTAGATCCTAATTTCACTCAGTTTGGTACTGCATTTGTTCTTAATTGCAAATGATCTAGTATTTGTTCTTGAATATAAATCATTTAACATATTTTCTGATGCTTATTGTTGTTTTTGGATCACGTGATTTAATATTTATTTTATATGCTTTTTAATGAGTTCATGATTACTTACGGTTTTAATCTTATATCTTAATTATTCGTGGTTTGATAATAACTTGTGATTTCAAATTGTTTGGTGTAGTTGTAGATTTGATTTCACTAACTTTGATAAGTTTTTTCACCTGCTAACTTATTTTTACTTTTTATGAACATTTGCTAAAAGGTGCAAGTTAACATAACAGCATACTTTATACAATTCACAAAGAGAACGAAGGTGCAGCTATGCTATTTCAGTAATTTTATGTTACAGTTTTAAGATTAAGTCAATAATTTTGCTTTCCATTCTTTAGTCTAGCATCTAAAGAATAAATATGCTTTTCTCTATCGTTACAGATTTCAACATTCGTAAGCAATGAAAAATATAACTTTCTAAATACTTGAAATTGTTTTTGAATATATAAAATAACAATCTAACAACAGTAAATGATTTAACAAAATATGTTGCTGTTTTTTTTAATAACATCCTAAACAGGTTATCCCATGGTGTGAGTGACAATTTCAAACCTAATTTATTGTTAATCCATATTTTCTATTCCTCCAAGAATATTTATAATAGGACATTCTATAAACAAATTATAAATTGTCTCTGTATTCTTGTACAATAACCACACATTTGTCCTCATTAGTTTTGTTCTTTTTTTAAAAAAAAGAATTAGTAACCAAAATTTTGTGATTTATTTTGTGCTGGAACACCTGTAGTATGGATTCTGTTGTACAATTAAATGATATGTATGATGAATAAGAGGTTATAAATCCCCTTTTGGAATCAATTTAATAATGCCAGTACTCATAGAATCAGAAATTTTCTCCATTTTCCAAAACCCAAAAAACAAAATTTTCCAAAAACGTTGTTAAAATTAAATTGTAAAACTTTCAAAGTGTGGGCTTTTCTTATTTCTAATATGTTTCATAACTTTGCTAACCTCATCAAAAGTGCTGTATTTTGAAGGTAGTATTTTATAATTGTAATCTTTAAATAACTTATGTAAATTAAAATTCTATCTTTATCTAAATATAGATTTTCCTTATAAGATTTTAAAATATCATTCATATTTAAAATTTCTCGACTATTTACATTCAGTTTTTTGTAGCTTTCATTTTTGGATTTTCTAAACTACAAATAAAAAACAGTTTGATTTCTCTTCCAACCACACCATTGGGCTTTTGAAGTAAACATTTTTTACACTTTGGATATCTTCTACTTCTTTTTCCTTTAGTATATATTCCTCACTTTAAAATGTATTTCCTTCATTGTACTTAGAAAAGTTCTGTTCGTTAGTTATTTTGATGTCAAGTTAAATGTAAATTATAGTATTACTTTGGAAGCATACTTAATTCTATTCAAGAAGGTGTAAGTAATTGTTTTTTGTTAATTAAATTCACATACTGGTATAATTTTGAATGATTAGTGATTACTTAGTTCTTGATTTCACATGGTTTGGTTGCATTTGGATTTCATTTGGCTTGTTTTTTTAAGATTATTCATTGTTTTGTTTTAGTATATGATTGCACATGGCTTAGTATTAATTCTTAGTTGCATACGTTTTAGTTTTAATTATTGATTATACAACATTATTAACTGTTTGCAATAACTTTGACTAAAATACGTTCTAACCTTTTAACTTTGTTCTTGAACACTTAACAAAATTTTGGTATGTCAGTTTAGTTTTAAATAATGTGCCTTGTGTTTATCCTAAAATAACATCTTGATTTCAGAAACTAGACGAGATTACTGTTACTCTGTGTTTGAGAATGGAGAATGTAGTCAGCCGTCACGAATGCTTGTGAGAAAATCTAAATGCTGCTGTGTTGGAGCTACAATCGACGGTATAACTCCAGCCTGGGGAACTCCCTGCACACCTTGTCCCTTCCCTGGTACTACTGAATATGTCAGGATGTGCGGACAGGCTCCACAGGAAATTTTTTGTATGAATCAGATTTTGTATATTTTGGTATTCTTTACAATATATGCTTTGGTGTTTGAGACTTTGATTGCATATGGTTTAGTATTAGTTCTTGATTACATGAGATTCAAAAAGTCTTCAACTAAAACATACTACTAAGGAAATGTAGTGCCACTAAACAGAGCACCTGTTGGGTTAGATACTGATTTAGTCGATAAACAATTAGACTTCATAATTATGATTTCATAGTTTTCTATCGTGTGGATGTGGGTTATTCACATAATTTAACATCATGTCTCCTTTTTAATTGTTCGGTTTAAATTACTTTTTTTTCTGATGTAACGTCATGACTCTTTTTAATTATTCTGTTAAGTATTGTTCGGTTTAGATTACTTTGTTTTCTAATGTAACGTCATGTCTCTTTTTAATTATTCTGTTAAGTATTGTTCGGTTTAGGTTACTTTTTTTTCTGATGTAACGTCATGACTCTTTTTAATTATTCTGTTAAGTATCGTTTGGTTTAGATTACTTTTTTTTCTGATGTAGCGTCACGTTTCTTTCAGTTTATATTTTGCAAGTGGTTATTTACTTCCAGATTTTAGGAGTGAGTTTTTGTTATAAGGTCTTTCTTTTTTTCACTCAAATATTGATGGTGTTATTACAGTTTCTTTAAATGTTTTTTCCCCAAATGTTCATAAATATGAAATGTTTCAGTTAAATTTATGTTAATGGTAACCGTCTTGAAGACCTTAACAACTTTGTCATGCTTCCTTCATTTTTTTTAATAACATCTCTTTACCCTATATGAGTTTTGACTGTCTTCTCCCCTGGTAAAGAGGTTTCATTGTCTTGTAGGTTAGTAAGTGTCTGATTTGTCCTTCATTTCATTATTGTTATGTATTACTTGGATATTTTTCTTCCAGACCTTTCAGTTGATTTTAATAGGATTCTTTTCTTGTAGCTTTGAATGTTAATAAGAGTGTAACATTGTATTCCCACCAGACATTTGTCACATAACAGCTGAAACTTATGAGTAGCAGTAGTATGGCTAAAATTAATTGCCACAATGGCAGAATGTATGTAAATAAAAAAAACTGAAAAATTATGCACACATTTCAATAATAGCATAATTTAATTTAACTAATTAAAAATTATGAATAGCATCATTCAAATATATTAAGATATATATATATATGTGTGTGTGTGTCTGTGTTTGTGTGTATATATACACGCACGCACACACAAATTTTCCTCTTGTATGGAATGTTGTTTTTACAATTGCTTCATCTATAGCCACCATGCCCTTTTTCTTTGAACAATGCCATATTAAATAGAATGTCTCACTGTAAATGACATTTTCATTTTTAACTTTGAAAAGCTATGCAAGTGTAATACTTCATGCAATGGAATATCACAAAATATTAAAATTTATGTGCTTTTATAAGTGTTTGTAATGTTGAGATTTTTAATTAGGTAATTGATATATATATGTGATGTTTTATGTTGGATCAGATAAATTGTAATATAGTTGATATTTTAATTTCTTTTTGACGTATTTTTTTGTTATTTTTAAATACTCCCTATTCTTTATTTTTGAAGTACCTATTCAAGTGATTTAAGTGAATCTTTCATGCATGACTGCTCATATTATTTTGTTTACATTATTTGCTTGACATTATTTAATGGTGCTCTTTTGTTGTTGTTTTTTCAGGTGCTTTAACTATGTATTACATTTTTGGTTCATGATAATTCAGTTCTTTTTTTATCCTTTGAAGAATCCTTACTGAGCTTTTTTCCTTCTAGATGTTAATGAGTGCGTGATGTATCCTTCAATTTGTGTTAACGGAGCTTGTGAAGATTTGCATGGAGGCTATAGATGCATCTGTAATCCAGGTTATGAGATTGATTCTACTGGAAAGAAATGTTCAGGTAAACCAATTGATTTCTTTATTAAATTTTTCAAAATGTTAAAGTGGAGAAAATATTTGTTCGTTAATTTTGTAAGCCTCGAATGTTATTTTGTAATAAAAATTAGAAAATCATGTACTTACAGAAAAATATGCCACACAGTATCCCACGTAAAAGCATTTAACACAACATAAAATTTAAAGATAACAAAGCCCCTGTTGATCCATCTAGACTGTCCCAACCACTAAATTAAACTTGAAAACTCAAAAACAGCCCTTATCATTCAAATATTTATTAACCCTTCCCTTAAACTCTCTGAAATGTACTCTATTAACCACATCTGAAGGCAACCCATTTCAAAGGCCTGTTAGAAAAATAAAACTTTCATAACTTAAGACAGTTCCTACCCTGCCAAAATTTATATTTGTCTCCCCTATTCCTGCTGTTATCACCATTAAATACCTCAATCAAATCATCGTTAACAATTTCAGAGGTCTTAACTTACCTTCATATGACAGCCTTTCCACTCCAGGTATCATCCTTGAAGCCCTTTTTTGAACCCTTTCCAACAATTCAATGTTTTTCATTAGGTAAGGAAGACTGAATGCAGTACTCCAAATGAGTTGAATTTAATATTTCAGTAGCTACAACCTAAAATCTTATTTGACCTACCATTAACAAAAACAACACTGCTTGGATGGTTTAAGAGATTGATCAAACAGAAAATAAGATCCTTTTTCTTTCCATAACTATGTAAAGGTTATTTCCGTCAGTATTATAATTTTAATTCAAGTTACGATAATTGATTAACTAGTGAACCAAAGGAATACACCACTCTAAGTTATAATAAGGTAAAACATGTGGTAAATTGATTAACTCCCATGTTTTACCTTATTATAACTTAGAGTGGTGTATTCCTTTGGTTCACTACAGATGAGCAATTATTTTCTATTTGGACAAGATACATTGCAGTTTGCTTAACATCATGAGTTTACAGTTGATGTATAGAAGATTCAAACTTGGATATATTTGCAACATGTGAATCTGTTGTCTGAAAATAAAAGACCAGTATATATGACATGTTTCAAGCCCAAGCCCAGTCACTTATTTGGCTTAACTGCCACTGGACACACTTGTGTGTCCAAGGATATGTTAGCCAGTGCCACTGACACATATTTACATCAATGAAAACATTGAGGCAAATACATTTTATTGGAGTTGGCACATGTTAGAAGTCAGTTCTGCTGTGATAGCACTTGTGTGAAGGTTTCCTCTCATAATGGCTTGTCAATATCTATAGTACGAGTTTGTAAGTGGTTGGACACTCTGAAACTCATAAAATGGTAGAAAGGAAACCTAAAATGGGCTGTTCAGAGGGCAAGAGCATCAAGTGACACAGACATGTGAAGATTCAGATTTATTTATATATTTTCTTTTAAAATTAAGAAATTAAAACTTAGATAATATACAAATTTGAATTATATAACCTACTTTTTGGTGCCAAGCTTATTGACATCAATTACAAATTAAAGTTGTTTAATTCAATTTTGAATTTAACTCTGTAAAAAGTCATGATATACACTCATTTGATCGTGCATTGCATGTAGGGTTAACATTCTTGCAGAGAAGATATAGTTAGCTCTACCTTTCTGTAGTCACCACCTTTTAATAGACTTGGGTTACGTACTATACTGACCATTCCAAGAGACTTACATTTGTCTCTTTTGATCTATATTATCGCCTCCTGCTGTGCATGCAGTAACCAAAATGGAGGGGCCATCTGGAAGTCTGCAAGGTTTAGTATAAGCCAGGAAGCTATCTCCCCAAAAAATGTAATATATGGATAACCTCTAACTTGGGTAACCTAGGATTGTAAGATAGCGCACCAGGTGAAAATACATCTGCCAATCTTTGTCTGATGAAGTCTTCTGGCTCTACCAGTCAAAACTTTTAACATTAGACTCAAATCCAACTAGTTTTAATTAGAGCATTGCAAATACTGCAAATGTTTACAAACACAAGACACTTGTGTATATGTTATATCCTGTTCTAAAATATGTTAGAATTAATAAAAAAAAAGAAAGGTTGGTACAAATTTTAATATTGAAATAATTCATTTTAAATATTGAAAGTATTGATAACTAATAATAGAGGTATCTGTTAAATAATTTAAAGACGTACCCTGTTACATAAAACTTGAAATTTATTGTTGGATATACAGAGTATAATATTTATGGTTACAACGTTTCACACGCCAGGTTAACCTGGTGAAACATTATACTCTGTGTATACAACAATAAGTTTTAAGAATTATCTGTTGTTTTTAAATCTTGATTTAGTTTGCTATTAATGCTCACCTTTCATAATGGTAAGTTTGTTACATAGGTAGTAGAATCTATTTTCTATGCTATTTAGATGGAATATCTAATTTGACCACTACTTTAAAAAGGACTTGCAAAAAAGTGCAGTTGGTAATTCTGGTTTCAGTGGTTTGTCAAACTATGTTGTCATCATTTACTGGAAATTGTCACGATAACAAAGAAGTCTTGTGCTCTTGTTTAAAAAATAACATACAAGTATCGTACCATAATTTCATGTAATGATTGCATCTTCATCCTTTCCTGCATATGTTAATGATGTATGTATAACTTTTCCAGATATCAATGAGTGTAGAGTGAATTTGTTGCTATGTGATAAAGGGCAGTGTAGAAACACACCAGGCAGCTTTCAGTGCACATGTCCAACTGGATACAGACATAATACCCAAACCAATGTGTGTGAAGGTGAGTGTTTATTTGTCTAAAATGTTAGGTAGTGGAGCCCACTTTCATAATTAATGGTTCTTATAAAATAAAAATTGACTCATTTTTGGATGATAAGGTACTTTCCTCAGGAACCAACTAGGACAATAGTTTTGTGTTTACATATATCAGTTTGATCACCTTGATATATTTTTCAAGAATGTAGATGAATATTAAGTTTTTACTTTATGTTGCTCTTGGCATCCTACTTTTAATCATTCACCCATTCAACTAGAAATTGCTGTAAATTCAACAGAATAATATTTTTCTTCTTATACTTTTTGGAATGAATTTGAGCATCTTACAGTTTTACTATTTTTCAGGTTTAAAACTGTTTTTCATACTACGAAGATAAACTTAGCACACAATAGATGCTTGAGGACCTAGTTTGTGGAAAGACAGTTATAAGTGATTAGTAGTGATGGAATAAAAGAGACAAGACATGGTGTTGAGGTTAAATTAATTGAAGATGAATGCTGATTTATTAATTGTAAAACTATTACATTTTAATGTGAAAATTTAAATAAAATATAATGCACAAATCTATTCAGAAAGAAATTAACAAACGAAAGGAGAATAGGACAGCAGACGTAGAACAGACAAGACTTTCATAGTGAATAAAGACTCAGATCAGAACAAGCCTCCTTGAAGAAAACTACATTCACAATTCATATTTTTGACCAGTCAGAAAACAAGAAATAAATTATTTATACTCAATGCGGCTGTTATAATACAACTCTCTATACACAGCCTGGCATGGCCTGGTGGTTAAGGCGTTCGACTTGCAATATGAGGGTTGCAGATTTAAATCCCTGTCACCAAACATGTTCACCCTTTCAACCATGGGATGTCATTACGTAATGGTCAATGGTAGTATTCATTGGTAAAAGAGTAGCCCAAGAGTTGGCAGTGGGTGGTGTCGACTAGTTTCCTTCCCTCTAAATTAGAGACATCAAATGCAGATAGCCCTTGTGTAGCCTTGTGCAAAATTCAAAACAAAACAAGGTAAAGTAAGATGCAGTGCAACTATCATCTGAAGCAGTAGACAAGTTCCTTGACAGCACCCTGATGCAGAAAGTAACACACAGACACGATCTCAACCGAACTTGCTATGTTACAAATGAGAAATTTTTTAAATGTTGACAAGAGATATTTATTATGAGAGTGTGAAAGATGTAGTATTTGCATACTATAAAATTATATAGTATTTTTTAGTCAAACTTGATCTGTAATTTATTGAGTGTTTTTATACTTTTTCTCTGTGTATTTTGGATCACTTGTATTCATACTCAAGTTGTGTGTGTGTATTACAAAATTAAAGTTAGTTTATTATGAAGAAAGAGACTACTTAGGAATAAATATCATTTCAAACGTGCTTGTTGAGGGTTTTGATAAGCCTTCTGAGTAAGAAAGTTCTTTGGTTTTTTTTGGAGTAGGTAAAAAGGAGGTTTAAGATACGATTTACTTGGTCTTAGAGTAAATTTATAAGGTTTTCTTTTTTCAGTATAGATTAGGAGAAATGTATCGGCATCTATTTTTCTCTTAAACCTGTTAGATCTAATACAGAGGCTATTCGTATGACGTTGTATCTTTCAGATGTTGATGAATGTAGTGTACCGGGTCAGGATGTCTGTATTGGAGGGGTATGCATAAATGCAGAAGGCAGCTACAGGTGTGAGTGTGAACCAGGAACTACTCTTGATAAAACAAGAAATATTTGTATTGGTGAGTCCTGTAACAGTAGTTACTACAGGTTTAGATTCCATATTCCACACACTGTATATCGTAGTGTAATAGTCTAATGTCGTGGTGAATGTCTGTTTCTTACAGCAGTTTTTACCACTCTTATGTTTGGAAATGTCATTCATGATGTCAGGAAAAAAACAACAGAAGTCTTGATATAAAATGATAAAAATCCTATAACTCGAGCACTTTTGAAAGGTGGACCTTTCTTCTTTACAGTTTGCCCTTAAAGAAGAAAGGTTCACCTTTCGAAAGTACTTAGATTGTAGGATTTTTATCATTTTGGAAATGTTATATTATTGTTGCTGCATTTGTAAGTTTTAATTATAAACATATTAAATAAAACTAGTTAGAAATTAAAATAGGGTGCAAGCTGACCCTGTGTACAACTCTGGATTTTGGAACTGGCAAGCTAGATGTGAATCCATGTGATAACACAAAATACTCCCTGCACTGTAAGCTGTGGATGTGTGTTAGAAGAGTGACAATCGAGTAGTAGGATGCCGCTGGCTGGCTGGCTGCCTTCCCTATTTTCAGAAGCTGAAAATTAGGGATGACACCAGATAGCCTTAGTGGCTTTGTCATGAATACAATATAAAAACTGAAATGTAAGAATTTTATTTCTCTCTGCTATTGAAATATATAATTATACTTACTGTGCTCTTAAAAATATTATGCAAGTATATACTTCTTCGTGCTTGAGAACTCAATTCTATGTGAAGCTAACGAAAGACGATTTTGATTAAATAAACTTTCTGAAAAATGTAAAGTTTTTTTTATAAGACTTGAAACATTAGTTCAGTATACAAGGGTTTTTGTTTTTCCGCAGGCCTGCTTCCCTTGTTACTGATATTAAAGTAATCATTTGGATATGTGTACTAATGTTTTTCTATGATTAGAAAGTAACATATAAAGTGTACTGTATATTCTCAAACTTTTTTTTCCTGAAATGATATTCAACCAGATGTGACGTTTTGTGTAATTAACTGTTGATTAGTGCAAGCTACGCACTTAGAGTTAAACTGAAATTCAACCTGGTAAGGAGTATAACTAATTAACTCTTTAAACCCATAATTTTTTGATTGTTCTGCCAGAAATATTTTCACAATGTCCTAATAATTATCACCACACCTTATAAAATTTCTGGACCATTTATGAAAGGTGGATAATAACATGGTTTGGATTAGTTTTCAGCCAAAAAGACAAATGTTATTGGCTGTTGTCACTGTCTGATGGATAGATCAGGATTTTTAGCTGGATGCTGGTAGCATCCACTCGGGGTCAAGTAGTTAAATATACTTTACTTGCATTGTGTCATTAGTTGTAAGTTGGACATTAGTTTTTACCAGTTATACTATACATTGATTTTCTTGTTTTTATGACTCAACCAGACAACAGAAAAGGTGTATGCTGGTTGTCTGTTCATAATGGCAGGTGTGAAAACGATGTGAAACAGCTCATACTGAAATCTGAATGTTGTGCTACTATTGGGAAGGCATGGGGCAGCCCTTGTCAGAGATGTAGGGATGCTGGTAAGAATAACATTAGAATTTATGAATTGTTATTTTTAATTTTGATTTTATGCTTTTTGATCTGAAACTACGAATATTCTGGCCATTCAATATAAATAGAGTCTAAATTTGTTATATCATTCAAAAAAAAAAGGTATGGTTAACACATAAAAAATTGTGATCAAAGTTGTTTGACTTTAAATAATAAAATCTATAGCTGAGAAATAGTAATATAAAGAAGAATTAGTACAAAAACTAGAGTTATCAAACTAAGATACCTACAACTAATATCATCCTGCTATTATCAGGTATGCATATCTTATCAGAAAAAAACTTAATTTTAGACAAGTATTGCATAACGAAGAAGAAAAAGGACCTTAGAACTGACTTAGAGATACATTATCTACAATGCTAATCACCACCGTGTTTCATAACTGGAACTAATCAGAAATCTGTGACAGTCAATTATCGAGTATTTTCAGCTTTGTTTCAAACAATTAAGTTTTTTTGTGTGTTTTTAACATGCTATTGTGAACTACATTGAAAACTGTAGTCTTGCCTGTTTGGGTTGTATGTTCTATCTGTTTGCTTCATAAAAACTGCAGGAAGTTCATAGTAGTTTAGTTTATTGATTGTATGGAGTCAAATATTTTGATAAGAGTATTGAAATGTATTTATTTTAATATCTTTGTATAAAGTATAACTTGATTACAAATTAGAAGGGATAAGCTGTTACATTGAACTTGTATTTCGATTTTATGTGAACTAGTATAAACTTTTTTTTGTTTTTTCCTTCTCTAACTTTTAGATTTGACATGCCCTAAAGGATTAATTATGTTATATGGAAAAACTTGTACAGGTAAGTTTGATAATCTGTGTTTCTTGATTATATCTTTCATATTTAAGGTGTTTATAAAGTTTTTAAATTAATCTAGACATATTTTGTTATTTTCAATCTTACTAGCATAAAATACTCATGCTCTGCCACAGGGTTCAAACACCCTCTCATGATTCATAGAGGCCTCAGAACACCAATCAAGCTTCTCCGTTATCCCCACTTCCTTTTCTAGCTACCTCAAGGGGTCCATACCTGAAGGGAAACCTTGTTAAGACACCTGCTTGTGGTACTTGAACACATATGCCATGTCTGGTTCTGCTGACTCGTGAATGTGTGGTGGTGGGGTGAGTCCCCCCCCCCCACAAAATAAATCAAGAGGGTCTAGTAACACAACCTCTGATGCTAGGTTTGAGTTGAGTGACCCTGAAAACCTACTCCTAGATGCTAATCATGCTTTGGTGAACTTCTGGATGTATTGTACTCCTCCTTGGTAGGAAGGCCATGTCATAAAAAATAAGGACACCCCTAGTTCATGTGTCAAGTTTGGTCCTGCTATCTCCAAGGTTGGGAAAGGAGTTTGCAGACAAACAAACAAACAAATCAATATTGGATTTATAACAAATTGAATTTTTGCACTATTGCAGGAAAAAATCTTGACAACTGAAACATGACATTATTAAACTAGTTTTAATAATTTCCATAAATTTAAAATAATTCAGAGATATAACCAATTCCACTTTCACAATAATAAATATTTATATTTATTCATATTTTGATATTTTTTGTGAAAATTTAATATTTCCTTTTGTAAAATGTAAAATAGGGCATGTTCAAAATCTGTGAATATTTTTGACAAGTTATTACTCCATAGATTTATACAGAAATTGGTAATTTGTTGAGCAATCTTATATGTATTGTATATTGTGTCAGCTTTGAAATGAAGCTAGGTGTTAAACAATATGTATTGTGTATTGTATCAGCCCTTATATGAAGCTAGGT